CATAAATAACATTAGTATAAATAAACTAATTACTTACAAGTTGTCATATGTTCTATTTCCTTGTAAAATTCAACTTCATCATCCGTGTGGCTATACTTTGCGGTTTGCGGTAACCGCAAGTTTTGAAAATCAAATACCGCAACCGCAACCGCAAATGCGGTTCGGTTCTTAATACCGCAAATGCGGTTCGGTTTACCGCGATTGCGGTTTCATTGCGGTAAATTATCGGTTGGTTTTTGCGGTTTTTCGGTTTTTCGGTTTAAAATGCCACCCCTAGTGCTGAGGCCTTTGTGGGGCTGTGGCAAAAGGAAGACAAAGTACATGGTGGTGGTGGTGAGGCTTTTGACTGCAAATTTCTACAATTGCTGATGTTTTCGGGAAGAATTTTGTGTTCATTGGGAATAGTTGGGCTGATGATTATTGATTAGCTTGAGTGGGTCCCTTTTTTTTTATATACATTACGATATTTAATCAGAAATGTTAATTAACTGTGATTGTCAAAACAAATAAGTGACTCTCAGCTGTTGATGTTAAGAAATCTAAAGCGAGGGATTTGACCTAAATACAACTCATACTTCAGACTTTCTTTGTAAAGTTGGCTACAAAATTCAGAAATGGACATCAAAATTTATTGACAATATTTGTCCCTAAATAAATCAGCTATGGACAGCTCGTGAATCATGACCAAATATGACTTTGAACCTTGTCCTGGCCTTAATATGATCATCAATCAAAAGAAAAACAAAGAGCTGTATATATCTCAAGCGGGTCCCATGTGTATTTCTCAACAGATCTCCCTCCACTTCACATTGTTTCTTCCTGTACTAATGTCTGTCTTGGTGGTTCGTGGAATGTGTTATCCACACGTCTCTCTGAAACATCCTTTTTGCAGATTTACTTGCACATTGAACTCGTGTGGACGATCTTTTGGCTTGGTCTCTCCAGTGGTTTTAGCATTTTGTGTGTGCACATTTAGGTATGACCGTCTTACAAGTTAATCCTAATTAAGAAAAAAATTAAAGTGAGAGTAAAAGATATTTGCAAGATATTTAGGTATGATCTTCTACACGCCCGATTAGAAGGTCCAATATCAAATATCGAGCTCATAAGTCTCATTCATTAATTATTGATGTTCAAGGTCAAACCCCTTTCATGCATGTAAGCCTTGCATCATTCATGCGTCAAGGAAAACTTAGGTAACTGATTAATATGTATGCATCGCGCGCCAACTAGACACCTGCCTCCAATGTGTTTGGTATGAGAAACTGTCCGTTTGATAACCATTTCAATTATATTTTTTAGTTTTTATTTTTCATTTTTTGTGCTAGAATATAGAGGAAAATGAGAATGATAATGAGGGTGATGATGAGATTGAGAGAGGGTGAGAGGGGAGGATGAAAAAACCAAAACTATAATTTTCATAAAAAATTATAAATGCGTGAAATTGTTTACATCTGTATAAAATGCAGACAACTTTGTGGAATACAATGATTACGGCTGGGGTATGACTAGCAGCCGACCACAAACATCTACAGACAGAGAGAGAGAGAGAGAGGCTTTTCCATATCTCTCACTTTCTCTCGACCGCCCAAAGAAAAAAGACCTTCAACGTTTTGAATAAGTAAACTCCTAAAGTGGGTTTGTGTCTTTCAGCGCCTCAGTTTTTCTTTGAACAAATTGGTTCTCAACTTTCTTTCTAGCATGTGTTGTTTGTTTCTTTCTCGGTATATTTGAGACGAAAACGCACAAAAAAATTGAAAATGATGATAAGAATTTTAGGAAAATGGGGTCTCGCATGTGACAATTTTTCATTGAGGTGTGACGGCTCCTTTGACAATGAATGAATGGACTTTTGGAGGCTTCCTCTCATACTTGGAACAAGAAAGACAGATGGGGTTTCTGTTGCACTTGCAGAAGCAAAAGTTAGGCCAACTTGTGTGCCCATCAAATCCCTCTCAAAAGTTATGAGTTTTCATTTCTCACTGATAAAAGTTGTCAATCACTAAACGCAACGTTAATGTTCAATATACATTTTAGACTTTTCCCTAAAATTTAGAGTGTTGATAATAGATGAAAATCTATATCAAAGTTTTCTTCTTCTTCTTCACCGTGCATTAATTTCGATCCTCTGACTTGTAACAAGAATAATTGGGAATGTCTCGAATATTGTGCTCAAACTTTCGGCCGCATGATGAAAATTTGGGTTTTGGAACATCACCTCTTCCCTTGTCATAATCGAATTAATGCTACATATAATCAAAGACTACTTGAGTCAAACAACGCTTGGGATATAATTGGAGGGAAATTGTATATGTTTTCAAACATTAATAACCCATTAAAGTCAGCAAGAAGCAATTGTCAATCCATGTCCCTAGCCATATACGATCCTTATCAAGGAAGGAATCGAAACATTTGCGGTGGAATTTAAGTCTTTGACATTATGTTTGGAAGAGAGTTTTTGTTTTATTTTTATTTTTTCTAACGTTCTTATTGTAATAAAAGCGCACACACCCTTTCTAGGGTTACCCAATAATGTATTTCCACGATCAAAATCGTACAGATTTCAGGCTCAGCCGGTTGGTGAGTGACAACTAGACAAACGAAGGATTGATGTACATCAATGTAAACGCATCAAGGAAGAGATATGTGATCATGTATAGTTGTCTCTACAGATTGACTTGTTCAAAGTTTTGTTTGCATGACACATTCAAGTTAACATAAGAGAAAAAGTGAACAGTCCGGGAATCAGAATGGGAGGATCCACTGTCGTCAAAAATCATATATTCAGATTTATTAGATTAAAAGCTATAGGCACGTCGTCTATAATGACAGAAATAAATTCCAAATTGGTGACAAAGATTATAGGATAGCTTGGGGTAAGGACTTAGGACAATGGATCATATGAGAGAAACAGAAGGTCATCCAGCACATTGGCAAGGGGTGTTCATATTCAACTTCAAGTCACAATCGCTCAAGTTTGGTGCCAAGACAAGAC